CGGATAGCCTGCAACTCACCTAGAAGGGTTGTTGGTTATAAGAGGCTTGTTAGAGCGATGAGAGGAGACGTTCGAGTGAACTGAACTGTAGATTGGGGGTACAGAGGTACCCCTATATATACTACTGTACATCTGTGGCTACGTAGTACTATACAGTACATTCCCAGGATGCACAGTCGCACAGAGAAGCAGTGCGTACACAGCGAAGCTGTGTGTGTACCACATGAGTAGTACAGCCTCGGTTATTGCAGTAACCGGCTGTGCCGTTCCATATCTTGTGACGGCTGTGTTAGGCAAGCTGTGTAAACCAGCGCCTGTTCAACACACAGAGTTATGATCAATGAACACAGATGATCATGTCAACGCTCACATTCAACGCTCGCAGCTTCGGCCGACAAGGTAAATGCAAATCTCCCAGAGGAGTATGTGACTGGCTTGATAAACGTTCGCAGGTGAAGTTTTCGATGTTCGGGAAGGCTGAAAGGAAGCGAAGGAAGATGGTTTCCGTTTGGAAACTAGCATCGCGGATAGTCAGGCTCCGAAGGCCAGTGAAGGATTGCCTGCCGCAAGGCGGAGTGGACAGGGGGAGCTGGCTATCGTCCCTAATCACAGACGAGATCCTCTTGAACATAACATCACGGAGACCGGGGAGGATGGAAAGCAGGGGAAATGGAGAGACATCATCCCATGAAAACGACAGAGACTTCACGACAGGCTGAAGGTGGGGTTTCGCTTGGACAGCCATCAGCAAAACTGTAAAAATATTGTCGTATATTACCTACCCATGCGTACTCGGGCAGTCGTAGAAATACCCTGCGACATTTGATGAATGTTGGGCGCACCTTGTCAGGATTCCATTCTAGCCCAATCACCCTGACTAAGTTGCACGACAAGACAAAGTCCGGAAATACCGGGCAATACTGGTGATATCTTGCAGGTGTTGCCTGGTATTGGCGAGTGTGGCACTGGCTTGCGATGACAGCGATCGAGCGCCATACTATTTTATATTGCCCGGGATTCCAGAGATTGTGAGAGCGGGTAATCACGAGAAGACCAGGTGATATCAAACCATTCGTACTATATATTGCCCGGAATTGATGTTATTGCCTCAGATTTTCCGCATTGGGCGATCAGATGAGCACAGTCGAGCGAAACGATGCATTCCAATCAGGCATGGAAGGTTGTCCACTTGTGAATACATTAATGAACGGTCCATATCGTACATGGAGAGCGGCCTAAGTCATAAGGAACTACAGCGTACACTAGAAGGCAAGAGGAAGGAAGACTACAACAAGAATGTACCTTAGTGACGGCATCCCAACGCCGAGGCTTCCATGTAGTCATTTTTCAGGCTCAGCTAAGAACAACGTCAGTATATGCGCTCTCAGTGAAGGCAGACAACACACCACTGGCACAGAGGGAGAAAACTGCCTATGGCTTGAGGATAAGACAATAAAGCTCCTAGACAACCATGAGTATATGCGTGGAAAAAGGAATATATATATGCGCTATCATTGAAGAGATGTCAAACTCACCGATAGCATCGCGCAAGGCTCGAAACGAGAGTGGCTGAGAGGCCGCGCTATGGTGTGAAGCCATATCATGACTCTATGTCATGCACAAGAGCTCAAGGTGTCCTGAGTAAGCGAGAACACGGACAACGGTGCAGTACTTGCGGATATGCTCAAATGAGCGAGTGACAGACTTGCCACTGTGCTCGGCATGCTAGCGGGTGAACACCTTCTTGGAGCAGGACCAGTGCTTGTAGAAGTAACAATTCAGCTCATCAGAGAAGTGGGAGGCCCAGACAGCTGTGAGAGTACGGAGAGTCGTGACATAGCAGACAGCATGACTGAGAATGGAGGGGTGAGAGAGGGGGATGGGGGAAGGAGCGTCTTGATGATGCTCCGAAGGGGCCCAATCTTATACAGATTTCACGGCGGAGTGTTGCTGAGTTCCGTACACGTCAAAAGTCAGTGGAAAACGGCAATAGGATTACTTACCTTGGACACGTTGATATAGCTGGGGCGCCTGGGCAAAGAACGTGTACATCACGTGCGCACGAAGCCGCACCCCCGACTGGCTCCGTAAGCTCACCTGGGAATGCCCGGGACAACAGCGGCAGCTGGCTCTGGGGCTGGGCTTGGGCCTCGGATAGCAGCGTCTCCGTCGACAACTGAATGCCTCCCGTCTCCTTTCTAGTGCGTTATTTGGTGTCTAACTCGCTGAATGTCTCCTGGGCTACGTGATCCTGCTCTCGTCTTTCACGTCTCCTTGCCCCAAGGATGGAGAAAACGAGACCGATCCCACCTATCTTTCTTGAGGCCGACCCTGACCTTGGATGCCCTGGACTTTGCATCAATAGGGATTACAAGCCGGAGGACACGGACACCTGCATCGCACTTGTTCAGCGAGGTGGTTGCCCTTTCGTCAAGAAAGCGAGGCAGGCACAGAAGCTGGGTGCGAAGGCGGTTGTAGTTGGGGGAGACAGAGACAATGCGGATGCACCACTGAACATGTTCAGCTAAAGTGAGTTGACTACCGTTCTGATCTCTCTCTCCTGCTGATATAGCTTTGCCTCCGCAGAGGTTTTGTCGGACGTCACCATCGCCGCATATATATCAGGTATTGGGAAATGTCCAGCTTTCCGCTATGATCATGTCACGGACGTTGCACAGGCGCCCCTTTTTGCCGCCCACTCCCTTCCCTTTGACACCCACCTTCCATTTTCGGACCATTTCCTTTCCTAGCCCATCCCAGTTTGGATACTGCAGATACGTTCCCACCACCGCATGCTACGTTCCCGTGATCGCCATGCCCTTGCCTTTGTGTTCTCGCCCTTTGTTCTCTCTTTGTCATCTTCACTGCCTCGCTCTCGCGCCTTGTCCTTGGTTGCTAAGCAGCCTCTCTAGTATATAAGGACCCCCTCAGGCGCTCCCTAGTCCCCATCTCGACCTCTTGGTCATTGGGACTAGGTGAGTGACCATAGCGTTGTATCTCTGTTCGATTGCTAATGTATAACTTGGTCATTGGGACTAGTCTGTCGCTCTCTGCGTGAAGACTAGCTTTCGTAGGTCTCGTGCCTTCGTGCCGGCCTCCGCTCTGCCCTTGTCGAGTTTCTTGTCACGTTTATCCCTCTCTCTCTCTCTCCTTCCTTCGCTCCTTGCCGCTCGCCGTACGGGTCGTCGCCGAATGTCGACCCGAGTCTACGCGCCTAGTCGCCGCGACAGATCACTTGAACGTCTAACACTGCACACAGCATCTTAGAAAACCCTTGCCTACCCATTAGTGCTACAAAAATCTGCATGGGAATGGTATTCGTGAGGTCCTATATGCGCGGATACTATATGCACGCAAGTCTCCTATTTCTGACACACTTACCCGAACACAC